AACGTAGGGGAAAATAAGTTTTTAATTAATATCCCGGCTAATTAAAGTCCCAAGAAGACGCGAATGGTCAAAAAGGGGTGCCACGAACCTGCGGAATCCAACGGTGTGCTTCGCTAAGCTCGGGAGCCAGTTGTTTCAGAGGATGATGTTACTTCATATATATATATATGCGGCTTAAGTGTCTGTTTGTCGCCGATGGTTTATTGATTGCTTGCGTAACTGTACTAGCCAATGGGATGAAGTTGGCACGGCACAGGGTTGCCGTTTCAATTGAGACGTAGACAGTTTCCTGTAAAACTTGCCTTTGACCATCCTTAAGTCTCAGGGCCAAACGCTTACGCGTGTTGGCATTTTTTTAACCTGCGCCTGCATTTGGACACGGTCAACTTTACATTGCCTGTTCAAGAGTTCCTGAAAGAACGGACGTAAAATTAAAAATAATGGATGGTTCTCTGCGAGGCGAGCTTAAAATGATGCAAAGATTTACACAAGAAATGTTGTGTACAAAGAGATCTGTGACATGTGAAATAACATTTCATTATTTAAATCACTATTATTGACTGAGTTAGCAGTGCCTCTTAAGAAATGTACCGCCCGTGGTTTCCTTCATAATTAAGCAAGTAGAAGGGGGAAATCCCACGGGGCAGTAAGTAAAGGCTTTCTAATTTGAATATAAGCAGTTGAATTTTGGTGCAAATTAAAGTCAAGTTTCCTGTAGGTGAGGATACTTAATTAGAATCGTGAGTTATAGATAGCAGGAAAATCTGATTTCTTAATAAAAGACAGCAAATAAAAAAATATTACAAAAATATGTTTTTTAAAGTATAACGAACATATTGAATGGCGTGATCGCCTTTATCTGGTCACGAGAAATTGTATTGTCTTTTCGTATATATTAGATCCTAATTTAAAATATTTTACTTTCTTACTTTCTTTAAGGATGTAAATATAATCTTAACGAATGGAAGTCTATGAAAATGGAGACTAAAATAAGTAATTATACAAATTTCATTACTAAATGCCGATTAAGTACAGGTCTTAATGAGCAGATCCGAAAACCCGAATCTCTGAGCGGGATAATTTGAAAAAATCCTTTATTTTAGTCTTAGTTTACTGTTACGAAATGTACAGGCGCGATGAGATGGCTTCCCCGCAAAGCAGTTTTAGGGTTGCCATAAAATGGCAAAGGAAAGCAAAGTTGCCACATTTGGCGAGAAATCGCCCATTTGGCGACAAAACTGGCGATATACCATGGACGGTTGGAGAACCTTCTGGAACGAATTCTTACCGGTTTAGTCCAGAATGTTCCCGAACACAAGCCGAAAGCTATATAAACCCTGCTGGTCCGCAGTCAGTAAGGGTGCGTCTCTCATCGTGTGAGTGTGTCTCGTCTAGCGAGTCAATCCCTGCGGAGGCGATCGAGTTGACAGCCGGCCAGCGAGTGCCGAGTGGGTCGTCTAGTGCACCGAAAGAGTCTCGTAGAGTATCGCGGTTAGTGCATCGTCGAGAGAGCGTGTTGAGCTCCGGAAACGACTGAACCGAGAGTCAGGAGCTATGCTCTGTGTGTCGTGGAGTGCATCACGAATTGTAGCGTGGAGAGTCTCGAGAGTACGTGGAGTTCCGAGAACGACCAAGCAGAGTCGGGAGCTGTACTCCGGAAAGCAGAGTCGGGTGCTTTGCAGGAAGCTGTCTCCACCGTGATAGCCTGATAACCTGAAGGCTGTGTCGCTGATCGTGTCAACGTGTTTATAGTAATTCATCGCCTACTGTAAAACGTGTTTTGGAGCTGTCTTATTGCGTATTGTCTAAATAAAGTGTTTTTCGATACTTCAAGTGTCGACGTTATTCACTCCAAACCTGCGAACCCTGTAAGAATGTGAAGGAAGAAAATAACGTAACAACTGGTGTCAGAAGAATCAAAAAAGGAAAAACGTAACAAACCTCAATCCGATCGCAATTTAGTAAATACTTTTAATTGAATTTGGTGAAACCTCTTTTCAATCAACTAAAATTTGTCTGTAAAAATCTTTTCACTTTTAACAGTCATAACAGTGAAGGCAATTTAAAATTATTGAGACAGCAAGAGTATTAAACTTAAATCATGAAAAATAAAATAAAATAAAAAAAGGATCTGAAATAGTAAAACGAAGTGGGGGGAAAGAATTAGCACGTTTTCACTTCATTCGTAAATGTCTTGCAAGTAAAAAATCCGCAGGAGATGAAAAATCTGAAAAGGTTTCACTTGTTTTGAAACTAATAACTTTACAGTGTCATGTGTTGCTCACGAGAATGAAAATAACTGCACAAGTTTTATTTGAATAGTAATTTATTCAAAGATTTATTTAAAATTCATATTTTTCTAAAATTAAAATCTTTAAAGTGCTAACCAGCGGTATATCATCCAAAGATGTATGTGGAATTCCCAATAACTGTATAAAGTTTCTGATCTTGCAAAAAATATAGTTTATTCTCATAATCTGTAGATTAAATTAAGTCATTTCACAAATATTCCTCAGTGTCTTTGTTATATTTCTTTCCAATGTTCACTCTTATGAGAAAATGAGTCTATTCTCAATAGCAAAGTCTTCAAGCCACTTCAGTTAGTGGGATAATTGACAGCAGTTTTTAATTTATGCAGCAGTTGTTTATAAAATGCATAATTCATAAACAAGAAAACTACTACTAATTTTCTAAGTAAGAAGGAATTATTGTAGTAAACTGTCTATCTGATGTTATCATTTATTGAAATGATGTATTCTATTTTCATACATGTCGTTGATAGTGAGTTATTAAGTTAATCTAAATGAAAAATGTATTTAAAATGAGTGAATGAAATTAATTAAATACTAAAAGCAAACTAAAAGAAAGGAAGTATCCTAAATATAAATCTCATTTCTTTGTACTGGAAGATTGATAGAAAGAGGGAAATTTCTAGTACCTATTTTGATGTTTAACATCTTGAACATTGAATGAATATAAAGAAATACTGTATAATTCTTATCATCGTTTAAGATAAAGATATTGATATGAGACATATTTTTATGTTACTTTCAATTATGGGAAGTAAACGCATTAATAACCCCAAAACAGCCGGGGGGAAAAAAAAAACAAACTGTATAGGTATCTAACAGGAGGTCCAGCTTCATTAAAGAGATGACTAACCCTACCCCATCCCTGATACTTTTCAACATATTTCTAAAAATATATTTAATTAGAACTCATTATTAATAACTCAGCTGTAAAATATATCTAATTCAACGTACAGCTGAAGCTTAATTTAATTAAAAAATAATTATGAATTTTATAAAAGGAATAGAGGCATAGGAAATTATCCAATATTATTTTTTTATTAATTATTAATTTATTAAATGAGAATTTCATTACTAATAAAAATATTTTACATGTAAAACATGCGAAATATAAAAAAGCGCATAATAAGTTAAGCATTTTATTATGAATTAAAGAGATTAATAAATATTTGCTAAATAATAAAAAACTATAGGAGTCTTTACTTAATAAATGCAGATTTTGTAATTTTTAGTGCATTTCTCATGACAAATAAGTTGCATTTTGAGTTGATACAAATAGTTTATCCTAAAAATTTTACAAATTTTGCAGACCAGTTAAATAGTAAATGTGATCCAAAATAACACTGTAAAAGATTTTTCCAGAGTTTGATTGATTTATAAATGTTAAGTTTCCATTAAAAGTTTAATAAAGTAATAATTATTTAGTTACTTGTGTTACTACTTCGTTTCTGGTGTCGATATTTCCTCCTATCCAAAATGTTTACATAAATCCTCGACCCCAATATTGTTTAGAATGGAAATTTTCATTTCTGGACACTTTAACATTTCGCGAATTTTTTACCTCCTTCATTCTAGTTCCTTGTACAAAGTAAAGGAAGTAGTGTAATCCCCAAAAACTCTGGGTATCATATTTCAACGAAAATATGCATTTAGACCACTATCGAATGCAATTTAATGATGTTTCTGTGTGAAATCTGTGCGTAAGGATAGAATAAAGGACTCTGTTTAACCAAAAGAATTATAAAACTGATTTAAAATGGATTCAGAAGAGATTTTTTTCATGGTGTCTGTACGTACGTATGTATGTATGTATCTCGCATAACTCAAAAACGAGTAATCTCAGAACGTTGAAATTTTGTATGTAAGACTGCTATAACATGTAATTTTGGTTGACATCGGCCGCACCAAAAATATATAAAATATAAATATATATATATATGTAATAATAAAATTCCATAATCAAGAATACACTTAAAATTCTAATGTATGTTCTTTTTATTTTTTAATGGCGACGTTCTCTTATTTGAAAGTACGTCGAATTAAATCCATATCCTCGTAGTCAAGTTGTTTTTCCCGCCTACACGTACAGTTATAGAATGTTCTGGAAGTATTTAAAGCGAACTGGATTGGCTGACGAAGCTGACGTCATTTCTTTTAAGATCCGCCTTTGCAGAGGCTATAAAAAGACTCGCAAAAGGAATATCGGGGCTTTTTCTTAAATGTCACGATGCAGTAAACTTCATACAAAAAGTTATTAGTAATTCTTTTTATTTACTCCGGATATCTGATTTTTGTAACTGCTATTTCTCCTGAATAATAATAAATGGATCCTGTTTTTTAAACTTATCGTCTGATTATTTAAGCTACGACTAAAGCTGATACATCACATATATGTATCCACTCTGTTACTCGGCTCAAGGAGCTCAGTTTTTTTCATTCTATTATGTTGGTAAATTGCGCATTATTTGCTTTAAAAATGATTGAATTACATTGTTTTTATCTTCAGGTTAAGGTTTTTATGTCTTTAGTAAATCTGCATGCAATATTTGTAGAATTATCAAGAATTTAAAAGTTGTTTATGTGCGGCTTACCACAGCAGCCATATTTGTTTACATTTGAAACTTAGCAGAACAGTGGATTTGTTGTCAATCTGGAGAAACTAAGCTTCACAACAGCAAAGATAACGCCTTCTTTTATTATTGCGATTTTTACCAAACTTGGCAGTTTGGCATAATTTGAGTCCTAGAATCGAAATATGTTAAAAAGTTGACATGTCATTTCAGAAAAAGTCCGCTTGTGTATCAATCATTTGGCTGGATGTTCCTTGAAGGATTAGATTAAAGATGAAGATCGCTTAGAGGCCCTCGCAAAGAACTCACGAAAAACCAAGTAGGCAAATTTTATATTTCTAACTTTGATTTCATTTGAAATTCCACAGGACTAGAATAGTTGCAAACGTTAGCAACACTTTTAACAGGAAATTTGTTAATGGGATATATGATTTATTTTTTCCTATGGGAAAGAAAGGATTGGCAGTTGCAGAGCATATGATCAGTGATTTAAAGGATATAAACAATGTAAAACTTAAGATAGGAAGAAAAATTTAAATAAGAATTTGGATAAAATGATGCTAGTGTATCTCTACTGCAACAGATGTTTAAAAATAGTTTTTAAGACTCTATGTTTCTCATGGAAATTTTTGTTTTGTTAATAGTGTGAGGGCAGGATTTTCTGTACAGAAATAAAAAAGAAATCATGAAGGCCAGGTGTGGTGCAAGTGAAAATACATCCTTTCAATATATATGTATATGAAACTAGAGTTTAAATCTGCGTTTCTCATAATGCTATATGTTAGGGATAAAATCAGTAAGATCTGAATAAAGAATAAAAAAGAAAAATGTAAAAAAATCTAATCTCCTTCTAAACATGAAATAATTCTTGATATTTAGAATAGCATACTAACCCAATGAAAGAAAATATTTTTGTATTATACGTATAACTATTAAAGATTCTCTGACTTAATTACCTTAGTCTATATACATGCAGACACTGGTTTTAAAAAATTATTTTTTTCGAATTCCTCACTCGACCATTTTTGACTTTCGACGTAAACATATGTATATATACACAGGTAACATTACAAGGATAGAGGAATCTGTTTAGTTTTGTGTACACAGATGATTACATATAACTAACTGTTAGGAAAATTTAACAAAATTACTTTTCACTTGCGGTTGAATTTATGGACGCAACACCAAATGACTTTCAGTTTAAGTTAAATTGTCGAAGATGACTTCGGTAAAAATGATTCGTTTCGTTGCGGTAGCTCTTTGAACACATAACCTTAATAAATTAAAGTTTTTAACGTAATACATTCAGTTCAGCAATATTCATAAACCTGACTGCATTAACGTCTTAGTTTACTTTCTTACGTCACCATTTTTGATCTCACGTGCACACCTCGTCATCTGCAGCGGTCATGTCTATCACAACCGAACTTGTAGCCATTCCTTTTTCGTCCAAGTTAGGCATGCTGGACACTGGAGGTGGACTAGCCTGCGTCAACAAAGGCGATTCACGCAGACTGTCGAAGCTGCATGATTCTGTAATTGTGGGTAAGAATCGTTTGATGACTGGCCTGTCATCACTTCCCAGTCTTGAAATTTCATCGCTATCATCGCCATCATCTTGCTCGCGTGACTTCTGGTGACGCTTGGAAGTGCTGGGCGTTGATCGTTGTTGAAAGAGGAATGGTAATCGCACTTGTCTGTCATTCGTGGATCCGGTACTCGAACGCCTGCCACCAGATTTACTTTCAGCTTTCGTGGACAACAAAGGCCACTTGAACGTCCCTTGGAGAGAGGATGTGCCAGGTATGGATTGGTCTTCTTGGGCTTTGCTTGCTTTTACCTTTGCGAAAACTCTACGCACCCTGGCGGCAAAAGTATTGTTCAGTGCCACGACATCAGGTCTGAAACAGAAGTGGAAAAAAGTTAACTTTTTTAAAATTTAAAACTGAAGAGTGGAAATTCAGTAACATGCAGTCAAAATGTAGCAAGTAGTTGTGGCTGTGACATGCAAATGATTGTTAATTAACTCCCTGAGAGTACGAATGCTACGGAAGTGCTATTAATTATTTAAATGTTTATATTTTGTGTCTCGTAATTTTGGACTTCAGAACTCACCTTGCTTGAGATTCACTGAACCTGCGAGGAGATTTCAAAATTTCACTGTCGGCAGTTGATCTGAGGAAAAGACTTGGAGGTTTTTGCGTTGCCAAGCGAAAGGGCAATTCATTCCCCACTTCCACGCTGGAATGCCTTCTCAGCCTAGCCCGCTTTCCCTCAACCACAGCCAATGGTACTGGGATGTTCTGAGGAAATTCTACTAGCCATAAGTCCTCTTCTTCGAAATTTTCGGGTTCCTAGAAAGATAATCATATGGTAATCTTTATATATAGCAATGTAACAATAATATATTGTCAACAAAATTTCAAAATGGTTAAGAAAAAGTATTTTTGATCAACGTGTATGATAAAAACAAGGAAATTACCTGACATGTTCATGAAACATTTTACCTACTCTGTTAATATGCAATGTTCATATGCATTTTCGTAAAAATAACACGCACAGTAATGAAAACATAAAAGTCTCTTTCAGAATTCCAATTTGCTTGCATATATTTTGGTTATAAGATACAGAGGTTTGAGCTAAATTTAATGAAACTTAAAAAGAATGTGACAGTATTTAAGGGAAACAAGAAACATAAACGTGAAATTAAAATATTCGGCGAGGTAGGGCAATTTAAAGAAAATAATTTTTAATAATGCATGCTCGAAATATATCTACTTCTTAATTTGCTAACCAACTAGCGCACAGGGCAATTAAATAACAATTCCAGAAGAATATCATGCGAATTCAGAAGGGCATCGACAATATAATCAGCTGTATAGCAGTTGCCTTCTGGTTTTAGTTTGGTTTGGTTTAGTTGATTATGATCAAGTACACTAGGGCTATCTGCCTAAGGGAACGGATGCCTTCTTGGGGACTTTTTAAGGCAAACACGCTCGTATACATACTACAATGGGGAAGACACCGAAAACACCCACACAGACAGTCTGTTTGCCTGGAATCGAATCGAACTCTAGTCGGAATTACCAGCGTTCAGCGATTTTACCAATCGACCGGTGGTGCGCTTCTGAAACTAGCTAGACAATTGCCGCTGCAATTCTGCAAAAATCATCCATAAAGCTTCTTCATTTTGAGGAAGTCATTAGGTTATTTTGAAGCACTAATTTGCAGATGCAATAGCCAAAAGATGCAGTAGCCAAAGCAGCAACTGACCCCCACGTTCACACACTTGACGTGCCTCTCCCGGGCTCGTTCATAAAAGCTGAGCTCAAAAGAGAATTACTCAAACGTTGGAAACATCTGTGGGAGACAGAGACCACCGGCAGAAGAGTTCATAGATTTTTTCCAAAAGTCTGCCGGCTTCTAAAAAGTGGCTCGTCTCACTTCACTCAGTTTCTAACAGGACATGGTTCCTTCATGACTTACCTGCATCGCTTCAGACGACGCGAAAACGACCACTGCTTATGCGGGATGGTAGGAGATCCGGACCACTATCTGTTCGCTTGCAGAGAAACCGCCAAATATTATCTTAGGCAATCAGTAGCAAACCACATCCATGCATGTGCCGAAGCTACTTCGAAAAATCACAATGCATTGAAACGCATATGCGATTGCATAAATATTGCACGAAAATTCTCAGACAGGCTGGAGTAATTCTCAGCTGCCACCCTCGTCACCAGCACAGCCCCTGTATGCTCTGTATCTGTAATGAACTAATTTTATCTTAAGTTAGCTTTTTCGGCTTCTCTTATTCCCTGTATATACTTATCTCCTTGAACTGTAAACCCTGACTTATGAACATTGAATTATGTATTTTGCCTTATTTTATGTATTGTTTTCACTGTTTTGCCTTTATTTTATGTATGATTTCGCTTTTTAGTTTTTTACTTCCTATTATTTTTAGTATTGCTATTTAGTATTTAGCCCTATTTTAGATATTACTTTTACTGTTTATCAGTCACTTTGTTAATTGCTCATATATTGCACTCATATATTGTACTCCTTCATTGTTCACGTTGTGGATGTCTTTTGTAACCACCTATCCATAACTCGCGATTGGATCCTCTAATCTAGTCATATTTATGTTATATGTAACTGAAATTGTTCTTCTCACCCGCAATGCACCTTTCTTACATCACTGCACTATCGTCTCGTCCAGCATTTGTTTGCGCTGCCCTCCAACACTCGTCTTGAGCACAATATATATATATATATATATAAGTGTGTTATTTTGATCAAGTTATTTCCGTCAGCGGGGCTACCTGGCCGATATGCTAACTACCCAGTGGACCGGCTGCATCGCTGTCGATGGAAAGAAAGAAAGTACTCTCTCCGAGACTCGAACCCTGGACCTCTCAAATACGTGTCGTGTGTGCTTCCAATCACACTATAAAGGCATTCGGAAAGGAGGGCAAAATACCTTATAACCTCCCTCTTTTAAAGGACGACTAGAGATTAGAGGATCCAATCGCGAAATCCTGGTAGTGACGAATTATCGTCCACCACCTTTTAATAGTTTGGGCGCCATTTGTAGAGTCATTAGGTTTATTTCAATTCTTTCCAAAATTTTCAAAATTCTAACATCGTAGGTTTTTCACATATAATTCCTGCTTTTGTCGGCAGATCAGCTATGTCTGTTTCCGGTTTGTTTCGCTTATTTATCCCTTATAAATATGTTCCTTGGCCCATTTTTGCAAAATTTTTTATAATAAAATCGAGAGTTCTGTATGAGATAACGTTCGAAATCAATAGAATTTTATTCAAAATATGTGCAAATCTAAAAGGTTGGAGTTTTGTTTGTTTTTACTCGTATATTTCAGTTATTTCCAAATCGTAAAATGAAATCAGTGCCATTATACTAATACATACACTGGCCAATGAATTAGAAACCTTTGAGATTTTCATTTGAATGCGTGCTAGGGTTGAAGTATGCAAATTTGTTTTATGACGTGGATTACAAGTGGTTAGAATGCTAGTATAAATTAGGTATAAGAGTGCTTTTCACGATGAATGAAGTAAAATGGGAAAAACGGCAAATTTTTCGCCATTTGAAAAAAAGCTTATTGTTGGTACCCGTTTAGCAGGGGCCTCGATTTCGAAGACAGCAAATATCACTGAGTTTTCAAACGCAGCCATATCACGGGTTTTCAAAAACTGGAATCAAAGCCCACAGTCCTTCTCTAGAAGACGTAACTGCGGTTCGAGCATAGTTTTCCAAGAGGGTTATCGGAGTCATCTCCGACGAATTGTACGGCACAACAGGGACATTACTGTGCTGCTTCAACTGACACAGATTGTCAACCAAGGCTCTTTCCAACAGACTTCAGCTTGAACCATGTGCAGAGAATTGCAGGGGATACGAATGCATAGTCAGGTGCCAGCGCGAAAAGCACTCATTTCTGCACGACATGCAAGAATTCGTTTGCAAAGGTGTCGCGAAAGAAGACATCGGACATCTGAGGATTGGAAAAGGGGAATGTGGTCGGATGAATCACCCTACATTTTATTTTGCACTGATGGAAGACGTCAAATGTGGCGAGAACCCCATCAAGCCATCTTGCCTTACTTGCACTGAGCAAGGGTCTGGTGGGAGTATCATGATATGGGGCATTTTCTGCTGGCATGAAAGTGGTGCCCTGGCGTTCCTCGAGGGTAAACAAACAGCCATAAGATACCTAGATATACTGGAAGATCAAGTGTTCCCTGCAATGTTGCATTTTTACCCTAAAGACGATGGATAACATGGAAGATAATGCAATATACATCGTGCCAAAGGTGTTCAAAATTGGTTCGCCGAACTTCAGTATGACTTCCAACACCTTCCCTGGCACCTAATAGCTGGATCTTAACCCCATTAAAAATGTGTAGGATATGGTGGAAAGAAGCATCCGACAGCATTCGCCTCTTCCATCTACTTTACAAGATCTAAAAGGTTGCATAGCCAATGAATGTAAATTCTCTGGATGTAAATGCACTCCAGAAGCATGTAGACTCGAAGCCCAAATGAGTCAGAGCAGTTATCCGTGCAAAAGGTGGTCCAATAAAATATTGATTTAGGGTATCTAATTCATTGGGCAGTGTGGTGTATGGCAATGTTTGGGATAAGGGTCTCATGCCATCGAATTTTTGCTGACTTGTACTTGAAATGGTTTCAGTTTATATTGATTAGAACTACATTATGTATTCCAAGAACACAAATGCCATGTAAAACGAGGTATATTTCTACAGATAAAAAGCAATGGAATTTAACAACAACAACAAATTGAGCGTCCTATGTTCAATACAGTAAATACATTTTAGAAATTTATTCTGTGTTTTAGAAGAATACTAACCAAATCTTCAGGAGATGCACAATCGATGCTACAAACTGCTGAATCTTGAGAGTGTCCGAGGAGAGGAGAAGGTTTTGGTGAATCAATCTGCTGTTCCTCTTCTGCGGGCACGTCATCCACAGCTATCGTTTCTTCACTTACCTAAGAAAAAGAAACTTTTATACACTTGGCTTCTTTCATTTACAGGTAACTTACAGAACAAAAGCACTACAATCAAATGAAGAAGACTATATTTAATTACAACTATCTCGTTACTTCGATTTAAATAACGATTTAAATCGGATTTTCTTCTCATCCTGTAATCGAAAATGAAAGTTAAGATAAATTTATGGCTTCCGAAAGCCTATATACACACATTAAAATACAAAGTTGGGATAAAATACACGAAATCTAATACTTGATAATGTTTATTTTCAAGAAGATTCTTGTCAACAAATTTGCATGCATTCATGAAGCTTAAAAGTTGGCTCTTTAGGATTGGCTTAGAGCTTTCAGAGCTCCCTTGAATTTACTTCCGTAGAAGAAAATCTTTTGTCTTGCGACATTACAGCGTAAACAGTGCACACAAAATCAACAGCAGGGAATTTTGGATATCAACAAAAGCTGAGTGGTCCACCATGCTTGTAAAAAATATGTTTGATATTGAGAGAAAAATTTTCTATTGTATTGTGAAGTTTTAGGGAAAAAAAATCGCACCTTCATAAAACTATAAAGAATTCCTTTAATAATACGGCAGTCCAAGTCCATTGTCTTCTATAGGGTGGGCTATTACACTTCCGGGATCCGTGAGTGTCTTGAAAACAGGCACATTAAAATATTCCTCTACTAAACATTGTTACGTTTTTCTTCTGACACCAGTTGTTAGGTTATTTTCTTCCTTCACGTTCGTACGCGGTTCGTATGGATTTGAAGTGAAAAATAACAATACTTTCTTGATGAAGTATCGAAACACACTATATTCAGCCAATATTAATCAGGACAGCTCCAATAACAATTTTTACAGTCGTCGAAAATCTACTATAAACACGCTGGAACGATCAGCGATACAGCTTTCACACTGTCAGGCAATAACGATGGAGACAGCTTCACTGCAAAGCACCCGAGTACAGCTCCCAACTCTGCTTCGTCGTTCTCGGAACTCCACGTACTCTGGCGACTCTCCACGCGATGCACTCGACGATACACAAGAGAACAGCTCTCCACTCAGCACAGTCTAAGACAAAACTCGACGATGCACTAAAAGACTCTCTCGATGCACTCGACAACCAACTCGGCGCTGGACTTCGAGACACTCGCTCAATGACTGACTATCAGCTCGCTAGGTGAGGTCAACACTGACTGACTTTGGACCAGCAGGGTTTATATAGCTTTCGGCTTGTGTTAAAGAACATTCTGGGTTAAACCGGTAAGAATTCGTTCCAGAAGGTACTCCAACCGTCCATGGTATATCGTCAATTTTGTCGCCAAATGGGTGATTTCTCGCCAAATGTGGCAACCCTGCCTTCCCTTGCCATTTTATGGCAACCCTAAACTGCTTTGCGAGGAAACCATCTTACCGAGCCTGTACATTTCGTAACAATATAATAAAAAATTATATTTAGTCCATGTATTTGAGAATCGGACCATTGATATATCGGTGAAAATACAGAACGTCTAATATGCATTGTAAAAACTAATGTTTTAAAAACACCTACTAGCTTACTTGTAGGTTTCTATATTGCTTCCAAGAACATTATGCTAATAAATTCCATATATTCAATGCTCTTTCTGATTTAAAGCTTTATCGACATTTACTTATACAGGAGGAAATATATTGAGCTGTTTTTCGATATTATAACGGGACAAAATTCAACAGCACGGAAACAAGGGACCTTTGAATATTACCAAAAAATGAACAGTTCATATGCGACATTTACTTTCAAGGAGATTATATCTATTGACCAAGCTCTTGTGAATTCAAGGTCTCATTTGTAATTGAATTTTTATCTGAATTTACGTTTTTAGAAGGAAATCTATTGAAATGTCTTATTACTTTACACAGCAAAAGTCCATGGCAGAAAACTAACTTTCGGATACCATTAAAAGATGAATAATCCACAAGTAATGCTTACTTTAAGGAGATTTTTGTCAACAAATTCGAATGTTTCAAGAAGGTTTAAAAGCCAAAGCTCCCTCTGAATTGAGTTCTGTAAAAGGAAATCTATTGTCTTGGGATATTACAGTGTAGATAAAAGTCGACAGAGGGGATTTCGAATATCAATAAAAGCTAAATAGTCCACATGAGACGCCATGTGTGTGAAAATCATGGTTTTAGATTTTCAAAAATTGCTGAGATAAAAAACAAGTATCACGAGTACGCTTAGTATGGAATAAAAAATGACGCGTCTGCGCTCAACTTGATTACAAGATTTCAAAAAGCTCTAAGATGAAAAAAAATCAAGAGCTTGGTCAAAATTTCATAAGTTACAATTTCACAAAATTGTTTCATGACAGGTACATTTTAAAAACTTTCAAGAAATAATTTTACACGAAAGGAGTTTTAAGATTTGTTTAAGAAAAAATAATAAATTAAATACACGAAAAGGATTTTTAAGTTTTAAAAGAAAAATTAATGAAAAATAAAAGTTTAAATAAAATTAAATAATTATAATTAATACACGAAAAGGAATAATTAATAAGAAAATAATAATAAATAAATTAAGACACACACGATTAAATACACGAAAAGGAGTTTTAAGAAAATAATAATTAAACAGATGGACGGACAACTCTCCTTGATTCGCTGTAAAACGGTTTAAAGTGATTTGCATCAATCTCAAAACGAGATAATATCAGACAGATACGGCGTTCATTACACGAAAGTGATAAAATCATTTACACATGGCAGTTGTTTGTCAAGAATATTAGCAACTAGACGTGCTTTATGATAAAGTTAGTTATCAGATACTTATACTTAGATTATTTGTAACATAATTATACTTAGATTATTTGTAACAGATACTTTTATTTTAATTGCTTACTGCATTTCACTACCCTTTTCATTTTTGTATTATAAATTCGAGTAATAAAGCTGTCTCTGACACACTACATTACGAAGACACAAAATATTGTTACGAAATGTACAGGCGTGAAGATAGCTCCCCGCAAAGCAGTTTTAGGGTTGTCATAAAATAGCAAAAAAGGACCGGGTTGCCAAATTTGGCGAGAAATCGCCCGTTTGGCGACAGAATTGGCGATATACCATTGACGGTTGGAGAACCTTCTGGAACGAATTCTTACCGGTTTAGCCCAGAATGTTCCCGAACACCAGCCGAAAGCTATACAAACCCTGCTGGTCCGCAGTCAGTTACGAGTGTGTGTGTGCCTCATCTAGAGTGCGAGATAGTCAGCATCGAGTCAATCCCTGCTGAGTCGATCGAGTTGACAGCCGGCCAGCGAGTGCCGACTGGGTCGTCGAGTGCACCGAAGGAGTCTGTTAGAGTATCGCGGTTAGTGCATCGTCGAGAGAGCGTGTTGAGCACCGGGAGCGACTGAACCGAAGAGTCGGGAGCTGTGCTCTCGTGTCGTCGAGTGCATCGCGAGTTGTAGCGTGGAGAGTCTCGAGAGTACGTGGAGTTCCGAGAACGACCAGGTAGAGTCGGGAGCTCTACTCCGGAAAGCAGAGTCGGGTGCTTTGCAGGAAGCTGTCTCCACCGTTATTGCCTGACAGTGTGAAGGCTGTCTCGCTGATTGTTCTAGCGTGTTTATAGTAGATCTTCGATGACTGTAAAAGTGATTTTTAAGCCATCTAATTAATACTGGCTAATAAAGTGTGTTTCGATACTTCATCCAGTGTCCTCGTTATTCACTCCAAATCTACGAACCCCGTACGAACGTGAAGGAAGAAAATAACGTAACAATATTCAGCAATATTTGAAGAATTATTAGAATGCATATCTTCAACTAAATACGAATATAGCAGACTTACTTCTTGTGCGCATTGTAATTGTAAATCTCTTATAGTACTATCTTTTTGTTTGATTTCTTCTTCTAGTTCTAATATCCTCAAACATAAATCTTTCTCTGTTTCAGCCTAGAAAGAAAGCAGATTTAGGTATGCAAAAGGAATCATCTTTGGAATTAACACCAGAAAATAGAATAAAATAAATGTCTTCAGAAATGTGCTTTTTAAAGATTTTATTCTTCTCTACATATAATAAAAGAAAGAGTCTCTGTGTGTGTGTCTTTCGTTCGCGCTGCGCGTAAGCTAATAGACCCACGACTACGAAATTTGGTACATCGGTGCATCTAGACAAGCGCCAGTGCACCTCGAAGCGATTTTTTCGAAATTCGAATTCGAATTTTTTTTTATTTTATGTTTTGTGACGAAATCGTGTCATTTTGAGACATAATTGGCTATAGGAAAGCGAGATTTTACTCTACACACTCCCTTTTCACATCGTCATGAAACGTAGGCACTTAGCTATTTTACGAACTTAAAATAAATTTCGTGTTCCATTAAATCGATTCAATACGAATTTATTTAACAAAGGGAGTTGAACACCATTTCAACGGGATTTTTTCTAAAAAAGTGTATTTTTAAAAATGTACAGTTTATTTTTCTTTGATTTTTGGACACGTTACACTTTCATCCTTGCGACTGCTTTTACAAAAAGAATTTTGGGAAATAATATTTTGTATTTTTAAAGAATTTTTTAAATGAAGCTTCCGAGTATACTTCTCACATCTCACATCTTTAAAAATGTGATTTTGGCAACAGTCTTATTGTTGTTGATAGATTTTTGATGAAATCGCATCATTTTGAATAGTTTCATTCTTTTAGAAATATGGGTTTGGCAACAATTTTTCATCGTATCTCTTATGTCACTCTTTTTAAGAGATTGGCATATTTCATTGCCGTTTATATATATATAGAATGCATTTTTATTGATTTTTTTTTTGGATAAAGTTGTTCTGCAGAATGAAATTCTGAGCGGCATTTTATGTTTTTAAAGAGTTGCTTTTATGTTATTTTTTGCTAATTTCACTCTTTGTAAGATATTGAAAAGTTTTGCATGATTTTTTTCTTCAACGGAAAGTTTGTTAATTTTTTATTAGGATAATTAATATTTGTATTAAGGGATATTGCTTATTTCATTGCAATTTTGTTATACGTAATAGCTTTTTTTTTATGAAGTTGTTCTGCAGAGTAAAATTCTACGCAGTTTTTAAATTTAACGTTTGGTGTTTCCTTCAGCCATTTTTCCGGTAGATTTAAAAGCTAGACGAAGGTTGGCAGCGAAGCTGCTAGTATATTAATAAATTTAAATTCAAGCGTATTTTATAAATTATTTTAAAGAGCTATCGAATGACAGCTAGTATTGTAAAGAAACTTTTAAATGAAATGATTTGGTTTAAGGTAAATAAATTTTGAAAACCAAATAAAACCTTTGCTGTCAGCTGCGGTAGTGAAAATCGAGAAAGGAATATACTCCTGCGTGACAACAACAAAAAGAAACTGGAAAATGCTTAATCTGAAAAACGAACCTATGGTTGTACAATTTTTTTGAGACAGATAATTAATTACACGCTGCTTTTAATATAATAATTTAATTTGTATAATAAGCCGTTTTGAACAATAATAAATAAAGCGTATCTGGACAAGCAACTACGATAACAAACATAGATCGTGAATAATATCAATTTTTTAACAATAGAATAAACATTATTTTGTTTCTCGTTGCTATGAGTTACCAGACTGGCAGCGTTGAGTTGTAGCAGGCAGGTTTCCACAAAGCCACTGGCGCCATCTATTGGTGAAAGAAAAGTAACTGAGAAGCATAAGTTCTTGAAAAGGTGACTTTAAAGATGCATTAGAATTGAACTCCTTAACCAGAACCGTAATATTTACAGGTAACATGAAACTCCTGTAGAAAATCTAATTCACCAACGGAAGAAACGGTTTAATAAACCTAAACGGCAGAAAAGGAGAGTTACAGGCGCCATCTATCGACTATCCTAAATGACAAAGCCTAAATGAAGCCACGGGCACCATATAGTATTAACATAAAATCACATAAAATGGAGCCACTGACATCATCTATTGACTGTAACGAGCGACAGAAAAGGAGGACACTCTCTCTACCTATTAAACTTAAGGTTATATGAGCTTAATAAATTTTAAGCTAACATTTTTTCTTAGGCACTTTCGCAATTGAAAGAGAAGATTCTGCTTAATCTTTGAAATTATAGTTATGAAAATTTACTTACGTTACGTCGTTTCCTGTTGCGAATTATTAGTTGTTTTAACATATAGTTCTTGCAACCCAGACGGTATAGTGGTTAGGGTCACCTGACTGAGATACCGAAGGGCCCGGGTTCTCCTTCCGGAGAAGGCAAGGATGTAAATTGTCTGTCCCTTCAACGGTGGTCTACCTATTAAGAAGTGGCCGATGCCGGCATAGGCAGGTGCCCGTCATTAGAAAAAAAAATGTATAGTTCTTTCGGCATGATCTTTTTGTTACAGATCGTTTAAATGATAAAGTACTCCAGATTGTATGATCTGCATTCATGAGACAATTTGTAAGGTAAACTGGTTCATATTAACTTTATATGAGAGAACAACCATAAAAGCCTAATGCTGCTATCCCATTCAGGTGTCTGTTTCCAAATTATAAACTTGTAAAAAACAACAACTAAGTGCAGACATCCAAGTCACAGACAAGCAGTAGTTGACATACAAGTTATAGGCATTTAAAATTCTGAGGTCTTAACAAAAAACATTCCTTGTTGTTATCCACACAGCACCCAGATAAAAACGAAAAAAAAAAAAAAAAAAAAAAAAAAAAAAAAAAAAAAAAAAAACTGAAATGTTTTAGATTTTAAATTACGTCCAAAGGGGCGTTTTTTAACATTTTGTGTGTTACCTTTCTTTATTAAATATCATGTTCCTCGCACTTAAACCATAAGATCCAGTGCAACAGCAATATCGCAAAATAGTTTTAAAACGAGCATATCTTTAGAATTTCCGATACAGAGACTCACGCGCTGGAGATAAAAATGTTTTTTTCTGCACAACGTTGCCATTGCTCGCTTTGAAATCCTTGAGTTTGTTAATCAAAAATTCGTCAAAGTTTTAAAAAATAGGAAATCGATCATAAAACAAATTTCAAATTTCAAATTTGGTCTTCCACATGCTCATATTCGTTGGAGGATTACGTTATTTAAAATTCGATGACTCTATGTACCGTTGTTTTATCACAATACGAGAAATATACATACATTTATGCAGATTTTTCATTATTTAATTTCTTCAAATATAATGCAGGACTCTAACATTTTGTGGCAACAGTTTGAAAAGTGAACCGACATTTATGAGTCCGACGCAAAATGCTAAAACGAAACTAATAGTCCTTCGGGATTCAAATCCCTTTGGACTAAAAAAAAAAAAAAATTAAATATAAATAAACGTTGATCATGTTTCTCTACAGTGGTTCATTTCCCTTATGTTAAAGTAGAAGCAGATATAGCAAACATATATGTTACGGGATGTATGTAATATTTAAAAATATTTTTTTCAGTTCTTTTTTGTAAACGAATAAGTAATTCTTTAAATATATTTACTTTACGCGAGTAATATATCAGGTGAAAAGAGAAATTCTAGTTTCCTGACTGTCTGAAATTTTCTAACATTTAGTTTTTGATGATTTTCAATGACATAAAAACGATCTTTTTTTACATAGCATAGAAAATATTGGGTTGAAACATAAGTAATAGACGTTTATGTTGGGTTTAAAATGACGCGGTAAAAATAAAATGTATTGGCATATTGTTTTGTGTTATTCCAAAAGAGAATCTTTTCCTCTACAAGATGGCTTATTTGATTTTTTTTTTGTCTGAGCTAATTATTGTTATTTTTCAGATCATTAAAATGGAGTGTCAAGTCGACAAAAATAAACATTTTCGACATCTTTTTGCGTTTAATCGAGGTGCCGATGCTGCAGAAGCTTCCCGAGAGATTTTTGAAGTGTATGGAGAAGGTGTAATGCCTGAACGAACTGCAAGAAATTGGTTTGCCAAATTCAAAAATGGAAATTTCGACCTCGAAGAGCTGCTCGTTCTGGATGACGAAATGAGTTTTATGAAGAGCGTTTGAATCAACTTCTGCTCGAAAACGCGCGTCAAACCATTCGAGAATTAGCCGAACGAATGGATTGCAGCCAAATGACTATAGTTGGATATCTTGGGTCTATGGAGAAAGTAAAAAAACTCGATATTATTGACTAATTTTTTGTTTTTTTGTTTTGTTAAAATAAAAAATTTTAAATTAAAAAAATGACCATTACTTATGTTTCAATCCAATATTTCGGTCAAATTTTAATGATTACTCATTGCAGAAGAATATCCGTAGAGCTGTAAAACGAATGTTGCTTTTATAATAAAACATCCGTTTTAGTTGTAGTTTCCTGTGAATGATGTATATCATAAGGTGTGCCGTAAGTAGGCGAGAGACGAATTCTATTAGACGAAAATTTATTTTAAATTTAAATGACTGCAGAGATTTCCTTCTGTCCCAACCTTTCCATTACTCACTCAAGTGTGTATATTAATTTGCTTAATTAAAACTAGAGAAATTAAAATTGTTAACAATTAGAATGTAATTAAGACCTACAGCAATTAGAACTCGATGCAACTGCGACTCGCATCGATTCTTTTCACTCGACTGCTCAGTACCTTGTGATTGCGTAGCTAATTAATTAGAGTTGTTCTCTATGGCGCAGTAGGAGATTGTAAAACCGTTTGCCGAAGCGAAGAGAGACAGACAGCGAGTCCTTTAGCCCTGTAAGAAAAACATCAAAATCTTTCTCTTATGCGACGAAATCTGCTCTACAGACGGAAACTGCAAAAATGTTACTTGTGCTTGTTTCGCGTTCTACTTTCTTTTTGTTTCTCACAGCTCAAAATGAAGTGCTTCAGCATTTAATTGTGCTTTCCTTACATCGTATTTGGATTACTTTTAAAGAGGTAAGAGTTTGTAATTCTGCTCCATTTTATTTTTACCAATAGTTAGCGGTGTTCATATTATACCCAAACTTACTGCATGTGCCCTCAACATAATTACCATTTAATTTCTAACTCTTACAGTTCTATGTCGGCAAAAACTCAACACAAGTGAGAGGCTATCTAGAATAACAGAAATAAGACAGAACTGAAAGGCAGATCTAGTAACTCAGGTGTATTCTAAAAACTGATACTTTGCTTATATTGCCAGATTGGTCCTTTATGATCATTTACTAAAGCAAATGGAATTTAATTAATGACATAAACTTTCAAACTTACAATATATGTATCCATTGTTGCTTTAAAATCTTGCGCAATTTTGGATAAAAAATCTTGCATGCTGGCAGATAATGTTGGCACATTTGGTACTTGCTCAGAATCCGCAACTTTAGATGGCATTACCGTCTTTTTAGTCTCAGCTACATCTTCGGGGTTTCCTTCGTCATCAGTAGTGGACGGCGTCAAAGAATAATTTGACGACATAGGTGATATGTCTGGAGAAACGCTGCGAGTGTTAAGTCCGGATCCCGTGAGAAGCACACCGGGTACTTTCGGTTGGCATGCTGCTAATTTGTCCTGTTTGAAATTGGTCTTTAGCAGCGTTCCATCCGTCAGAGTCTTTCGCCGAGTTCTTACCACCTCAGCAGCTTTCTCAGAAGATAAAGTGAACAACTCGCTTCTATTCCAGTTGCTGACTGAGGGTTTAGATGGCTGCCAACTGGTCCTGCGTGTTTCACAAATTTTTGCACTAGTTTGAGTAGTCACTATGGATCGTTTGCGATTCGTAAGCCCTAAAGTATCAGGTCTCAGAAGAACATCACAGCTGTTCGCTTTCGTTTTTTGATTAAAGTCTTCTGCGGATTCTTGCGCATCAGGATGCTTGGATGTAGATGACCCTCTGCTTCTTTTAGGAGTTACTAACCTAGATATCTTGCACCACAGCGTGCGCTTCTTCCTCACACCAAAGCGCGGGATTTTGTTGTTGCGTTTACGCAGTTTTGCAGTTATTTGCTCCACCAAAGAAGTTGCCTTGGAAGTGGTTTCATCATTTGGATTCTTCTGTTTCTGACTTTCCGAAACGATATGGTTGGACTTTATAAAAGAATTTTGTAGTTGCTGATTTTGGACTGGCTCCCGATGCGGGCTCGAGGTGGAATCGCCGGGTGCGTCGGAAGAATTCGATAGATTCGAATATTTATGCTTGTGGACTTTATCATGATCCGTGTCTTTTCTTCCGAGAAGATATGCCAGGCTCATACCTGAAAGATTAAAATGGTTGCAGAACTAAATAAGCATAGAAAATTATTTAATAACAAGATAGTTATTAATAATAAATGTTATTAATTAATTAATATTACAGTAAGACCCCGCTTAACGCTGTTTCGTTTAGCGCTGTTTCGGTTTAGCGCTCTTTTATTTCAACCCGGGGATTCCACGAAATCGCTCGCAGCATACGGGGATTCCCCGAAATATTATGCAGCGATAGGTTTCAAATACATATCCGAAAGAGTGTACTTGTATTTCTTGTTTGGTGCGGTATTGTACAGACATATTTTGAAGGGGTAAATGTGGAAGATGTCGAAGAAATAATTCAAGAAGCAGCGGCTAGTCTTTCTAATGATGAGCTCAAGGAATTAACTGAACAAGAAGAAAACAAAAATGTTGACAGCAGTGATTCAGAAGAAGAGCAAAAAGAACTTCCGATGGCGTTTGTAAAAAGGAGTTTGTCTACCATAAACTGAAAAATGGAAAAAATTCAATTCATTGAAAATGATCCGAATTTTGACAGGAGCTCAAAAGTAAGGCGTAGTGTTAGAGATGCTCTATCCGTTTATGAAGAACTTTTAAGAGAACAACGCAAAAGAAAAAGGCAAACAACATTAGATGCTTTTGTCACAAAAAGGCAAGAACACTGAAAAACGCGGAAGGCTAACTAAATATGACTGACTGAGAATTTTATTTGTTTTTTTTTTAAGAATATTCGTTTTGTTTATTTATATTTTGTTTTTATTTTTGCAAGAAATAATAATGTGGTATTAATTTGGGCTTTAAGAAATAAATGTTTGGTTTTATTTTTATTAAAAAAACATACTTTTTAAATTTAATACCTAACCAATTTCCTAGCCATCTTCCCCTAACCTCAATATTTACATGTAAAGATAGCCTCGTTTAGCGCTGTTTCGCATTACGCTCTACTTTGATGGAACGTATCCCCCGCGTTAAGCGGGGTCTTACTGTATTAATAAATATCACTAACATTATTAATAATTAATATTAATGTGTGAACCAGGAATTAAAAAAAACATTCTAAATACTAAACTTTCAGAGCATTAAAAGTTAAACAACACTATGTGTAGTATTTGCATTTAATATAAATATATGTACCTTTTCTCTCGCAAGCGTTCGGTGGTATATTTTCATGATATTTACATACATTTACATAAATGAATAAAATAAAATTTCATTTAGAAAACATTATTAGAGGAAACTGAATATAAAAATGTTTGTTAGTTAAAAAAATTTGAAAATAGTTTTGGTATGACAGTCAAAGGTTAGTAAAGTATGAATGTAATATTTTTCACTGCTGTCCTTTGATAACATTACATTTAAATCAATGGAGTATTTATTATAATTAGTTACGGGTTTCGTCCTAAAGTGCTATACTGAAGGGAGGGACGCTTTCGCATAGGACTTTCTAAGGGGAACTGCCTCGTATTAACACCTTAAACATGGAGGGAACCACGAAAATTTATGCTATGCAGCCTGCCCGTTCGAGGGATTTGAACCTCGGTCTGACCTACTAGTGTTCAGAGACTTTACCGCTTGGCCGCTGGTAGGCCAACTGAAGTATTTGGCCTAAGTTCTATCTCATTAAAGTTGTTTTACACAATAAGAAATTTTATATATTCTTTAAATTACGTGTGCCATTTATAGCTTTCTAAGGAATTTTTTCAAAGAGTTTTATTATTAGAACATAAACTAATTATTATCTTATCTAAATAGAAATATGCGAACTTCAAAATTATTATGCGTGTTTTGAATTACTTTATCTTTTATTTTTAAAAGGAATTTGCATTCAGTTTTCGAGATAAATTAGTTTCAGTCACCAAGAAGTCAGATTATTAAATATCGAGAATATCTTTAATTGTGAAGTCTGCAGAGAAGTATTCTCTTTCGTTACGCATACGAAATGAAACAACAGTACTGTTGCCATTTAATTGGATTCAATTTCGTATTCATGAATAAAAAAAAGGCTTAGGAATTTTTTTTAGAAATATATAAAATAGAATAGTACGTATGGAAATAAATACAATGAACAAATAATTTTGTGTCAATTTAATTCATGATTATATTTCGTTTGGAAAAGAAATTCAGTTACGAATGAACTTTTCTGCATAGTTTTCAGTTTCTGAAACACCTTTTTGAATGTTACATAAGCCGATGATAAAAGAATAATTACACGACATTTTGCAAACTGTTGATCAAAATAACTCAAACATTTATGTTGAAAATTCTCAAATTCGCTTTTGATTATCACCTATTATTTAGATGCTTGCGGAAAGATAATAAACTAGGCCTCAATTTAAAACATTTTTTTCATTTCTAATTTTAGATTTAGAGTTAACATTTAAATACGTTTTTGAAGTAGCAATTCGCTTAAAAATAGAAAATAAGACTGAGAATCAGTCAAAAAGATATATCCCAGTGGTTCTCAATTTTTTTTGCGTCACTCACCCCTTTCACAATTGCTAAAAGATTATTCCTCTCCCTCCCTCTTTTCCAAACCTTCCTATATAAATATATATACACCTTTATTTAGATTTAGATTATTTTTGTAACGTGTTTTATAAGTTAAACAAAAAAGTATAAAAATGTAAATAAGTATCAATATATGAGCAAAAGAATTTTTTTCTAATCATAAACTAAAACTAAATAGAAAGTAGTATTTTTATATTCATAAACTAAAATTAAGTGCTTAACTAAAACTAAATACTGCCTAAATAATAGGCTGATCGCATTCTCTCCCCCCCTCGAAACTAAGAAATTCCCTAATAGATGTTTTGGAGTGGACTGCATGCTATTCAATATTTTATCTAATATTATTTCAATTAAGGCTGTTGTTTATAAACTCATAATAAATTAGGTTAACATCGTTTATGTTCTCCAGAGAACTAATGGAGCAGATAAACTAATGCAAATATTTCAAAATCCACGAATAAGCAGTGCAAAGGAAGTTCGCCGCAACATTTCGACGATAAATAAATAAATTAAAAAAAAAATAAATACCGAAGATTAGATTAACGTTAATAATCAAGTGAGAAATTCTCGAAATAGGTTTATCCTGTAGTTGTATGGAATGTTTCGAGGTTACAACTAATGCAAAAGACGAGAGAATGTTTTAGCACTGTTGCAAAACTGGAGAGTTCAGTATTCAGAATATTTTCTATGAGGTCATATTGAGATATTAATCTTTAAAGTAAAATGCAGGGCAATTTTGAAGGAATAAATTTCTTTATGTATTGAATATAAAATAAGTATTTATAACTGAATAACTGTTAGGATATCTACAGATTTATCAAAATATTACTAGTATTACAAAATTTATGTAACGTTCAAACATTTAATTCATGTACGTTTTCTAAACGTAGAAACATGTATGCACACAGGTAATTAATGTTTTCGCATGTTCTTACGTGAAAAGAACCTATGCCAGTAGTTTTGTTGGCTGTTTGAAAATACGGTGTCGCGCTGGAACATTATAAGAGAGGAATAGTACATATGGTTTATATCTCAAGGCCAACATGTAGAAATTCGCCAATACATGGAAAATACCAAAGAGTATATAATGTCACATGATTCTGGTGACCCCTTGCAAGATGCAAAATTATTGGAGGCAATTTTCACAACATGAAGAAATCCGGCAATATATGGAAAACTACCAAAGAGTATAATGTCAGATAATACTGGTGACCACTTGAAGATGTAAAATTATTGGAGGCAATTTTCACAACATGTAGAAATCCGGCAATATATGGAAAACTACCAAAGAGTATAATGTCAGATAAATACTGGTGACCACTTGCAAGATGTAAAATCATTTGAGGCAATTTTCACAACATGTAGAAGTCCGCCAATACATGGAAACTACCAAAGAGTATAATGTCAGATAATACTGGTGACCACTTGCATAATGTAAAATCATTCGAGACAATTTTCACAACATGTAGAAGTCCGCCAATACATGGAAACTACCAAAGAGTATAATGTCAGATGATACTGGTGACCACTTAAAGATGTAAAATTATTGGAGGCAATTTTCACAACATGTAGAAATCCGGCAATATATGGAAAACTACCGAAGAGTATAATGTCAGATAATACTGGTGACCACTTGCAAGATGTAAAATCATTTGAGGCAATTTTTACAACATGTAGAAGTCCGCCAATACATGGAAACTACCAAAGAGTATAATGTCAGATAATACTGGTGACCACTTGCATAATGTAAAATCATTCGAGACAATTTTCACAACATGTAGAAGTCCGCCAATACTTGGAAACTACCAAAGAGTATAATGTCAGATGATACTGGTGACCACTCAAAGATGTAAAATTATTGGAGGCAATTTTCACAACATGTAGAAATCCGGCAATACATGGAAACTACCAAAGAGTATAATGTCAGATAATACTGGTGACCACTTGCAAGATGTAAAATCATTCGAGGCAATTTTTACAACATGTAGAAGTCCGCCAATACATGGAAACTACCAAAGAGTATTGTAAGGATCTTAAGTTTTACTAACGTTTATTTTATTTTAAATCTTTACTATCACTTCTTATTTTCTACTTCCGGCCAGAATTATAAGCGTGAAGGATTTTATGCAAAGTTTGTCTGGCGAACGCCAAGTATTTAAGTGTGGCCTTTTTGCCAAGCGAAAGAGAGAGGAAGCAGTGAGTTCGAAGCAGGCCGCTTACCTTAGAAGTTACGCAGTTGCTATTTGCCTTCCAGGCCAGAGGTTTTAATCCTCTTAATAAATTAAACGTATTGTAGTGTTCACAGTCTCTGTGCTACATACGCTTCTTGTTATTATAAGGCCAATCTTCCACGTGTATTATTCTAAAGTTAAATTAGAGTTTAGTTTTATTTTGATATCTTTTACGTTAGACCCCGAGTGGAGGGTCATTGTATTCCGAAGTACGGAAGTCATTGTATATAAAGAAAAATAAAGGGTTTTGTATACCCTTCGTCGGTATC